TTAACCAAACTGGCTTCAAAGCAGAGAACTTTCTCCCTCCAGAGTACTGGGATGAAAGATGTGCACTACCACACTGAGCTCTGAGATTTTCTTTAATCCCTTTTCCCAAGTTGTAAGTTTAGCTGGGTGGGATTTCTTCCTAAGGTTACCAGTACTTATATTCCATTTCTCCCTTCTTCTATATTATTGACCACAGGATTTAGTTCCTATTCCACTTTCTGCTGCCCTTGTTCTCCCAAGTCTGAATATTTTGTGTTTTTACTTGAGCAATTTGTTCCTTTTCATTATAAATCTTCATAAAATTCAACACGAGTAACTACAAAACAGAGTCTATACCAGACTATTTTAAAATTTTCCATGCCAATGCAATTAATCCAAAACTCTTTCCATATTCTTCACCAAATTATCAAAAGAACGATTGCTAGGCAATATACTAAAATTCTCCTCTGAAACCTCTTGAGCCAGACCCCCATAGTTCAAATCACCCTCAGCAACACTGTCTTCCATGCTCTTACTAAAAAGTCCCATTAAGCAGTACTAAAAACATTTTACTGCTTTTCTAACCCAAATTCCCAAAGCCCATATTCCTCCAAACCAAAGCATGGTTGGCCTGTCACAGCAATAACCGAGTCCCTGGTACAAACGTCTGTCTTAGTTAGGTTCTTATTGCTTCGAAGAGACTCTATGACCAATGCAAATAGTATAAAGGAAAACATTTAATTGGGACTGGTCCACAGTCTCAGGGATCTAGTCCATTATCATGATGGAACATGGCAGACATGCTGCTAGAGAAGTGGTGGAAAGTTCTAGGTTGATCTGTAGGCAGCAGAGGCAACTGTGTGTCACACTGAGCATATCCTGAGTATGGGAGACCTCAAAGCCCACTTCTACAGTGACATACTTCCTTCAAAAAAATGATACCTACCTACTCCAACAAGGCCATACCTTTTAATAGTTTGATTTGCTATAGAGGTCATTTTCTTTCAAACCTTCTCAGTTGATTTGATTGTTCTTAAAGAATATTTGGTTTAAAAGGTACATCATGTCTCTTTAGTACAGGCATATGTTTTTCAGCTTTTTAAATGAAAAGAGTCCTTTTGTATCATTTAACTATACAGTAATTTTAAGGATTAAAACCTTCTCTTTTAGTGATAGAGAAAGTTTCAGTGAAAGACCCTGGGAAACTGAAGCAATTAGTTTGATTAGCATTTTTAATTATATATACAGAAGCCATTCAGCTACTATCACAAGATTTTTAGTTTTCAATATACTACTTAAACCCCGAAGCATTTGTAAGGTAGGTATTTTTAACCTCTCAAATAACAATTGGTGTGGGGCATGTGGATAATCTGTTCTCATTTCGGAATGAAGATCCTTCAAATGTGGATTTCTTGAGAGACTTTTTAGAAAACAGTTCTTTCATTCATTTTTTTATATTTGTCTGTCTCTCTTTATGTGTGTGTGTGTTTGATTTATGAATTTGTGTACACTTGTATGTGGGATATACTCACCTCTGCATAAAGGTGAAGGATGAAGGTCAATGTCAGGTGTCTTCTATTGTTCTTCAGTTAATTAGTTTGTTTATTCATTTACTTGATTTCAGGTGAGATACCTCACTTTACCTGGATCTCAGAATATGCTCAATAAACCTTATGGACTGCCAGGGCAAGGAAGCCCCATGTTTGTCTCTGTTTGCCAGGTCTTGGCTACTAACGTGTGCCACTCTACCCAGACAAAATCTTAACGCTTTATGCTTTCATGGCAAGTACTTCACCAACAGAAGTATTTCACCAGACCCATTGTCTTCGTTTTTAGTAGTATATGTTTGTTTGTGGAAAATGGTATTCTCACTCATACTTACCATGTACTCTGATCATTAAATTTCTAAACCCAATAATTTAGTGATTTTTCTACATTTTGACTGAAAGGATTTGCAGAAATTAGTTATTTTTGGTTCCCTGCAAAGTATGGGGTCCTGTATAAAAATCAGAGGCATATATTTCTCAACTGACCTTGAAGACTGGGACTCTCACTGGATCACTCACGAGACTCACAATAAGGAAAGAAAGGACTGAGCCTATCAACCACATATGAACTGTTGCCACCATCTAGCTTAGTAATCCCTCATGTATGCTATCAAGTGTACAGCCCTGCATGTCTCAGAGACACTCATGCTCATAAGATGCTATGGGAAAGAGAAAATTACTGTCACTATTTAAAATTATAACCAAGAGAACAGCTACTATACTTAGTAAAGAAGAGAGACTGATATTTGCATTTGTATTGAGTATTTCAGGAGTTTTTAGGCAAAAAGATGAGAGAGAGAGAGAAAGGGGGGGTAATGTATGTATTAGAAAAGTCACAGGCAAAATGTACAGGGAACAATTGATCTTCCTGTCAAGGGTTATAATTAGAATGACAAAAAGTAAATTAATTAATTCAAATTATAGTCACACAATAGTCACCAATCATGAGCCTCTCTGACTGAAAAGTGTTTGAAAATCCCACAGATAAGAATTTACTCCATCATATTTATATAACACTAATAAGAAAGGGGCTTGCCAAATTTCAATAGCATTTAATTACTTAGCTTCTCCATCTTATTTGTGGCTTAATTCTAAAATTTAAGAATTGTTCCTACAATTTTCAACTACCTCAGCCCTCCAGAGATAACATGCATAAACTAGAAAGCTTTCATATATCTTCATAGTATTGTCTCTCAACTCTCAAAAATAGTAATCAAATGGCAATAGTAATAAAATTATAAGATATGTAGCTATTACTTCAGTCAAGTTTCTACCAGACCAGTAGAACTGGTAACACACACACCCACATACACACACACACATACACACACACACACTCACACACACATACACACACACATTTTTCTTTTCCTTTGAGTGTTTGTAAACAGGTCTAAAATTTACATGAAAGGCCACAGGCAGAAATAAAAAATGAAGAGAATCTGTGGATTCTATTTTTAAAAGACTTCAATTTTGTTCTTCTCATCCTGTACTGATTGAGCTAAGTACCACACTATGAGGAATAATCAGTACTTGGAGTCAATTTATTGAACACCTACCAAACACTCATACCATCATTTAGATCAGTAAGAAATAGAACAACCCTTTATAATTTATACAATTGGATGCATAAACTGCCACTTGAGTGCTAATAAGAAAAATACTTTCCTGATGGTGAAAGGACCTGTGGAAATCTGCATAAGCATACATTATGTGATTTAATCCTCACAGCAAGCAAGTCATTATGCACCCTTTAAAAGATAAAAATAATGGCTTTGAAAGACTATGACAATATTTCACAAAATTAGAGTAGGTAAGTAGTTCACGTAAATTTGAGTATCAAATGGTAGCAATATTTTTCAAAATTAGAGTAACTAGTAATTCAAGTGAACTTAATTCATGGTGGTGGCCAGATATTTCTAATTCTAAATAATTTATTTTCATTACCAAAATGATTATACATCACAGAAAAAATATTTGCATTCTTCTTAAGTTTAGGCATTCCAAAGTTTTCTAATGATTATCTAGTACAATCTTCGGGGAACAAATTAGTGAACTACATGAGCCAGCATGCCATATGTGATAGAATTTTTTTTTCTCAATTTGTCAAAACCTAGACATGTCTGGGAAAAATGGCCTCAAGTACGGTATTGTCTCCATCAGATTGTCCTGTGAGCATGTATATGAGGACTTTGGTAATTGCTAATTGAAGTGGGATGGCCTAACCAGCTGCAGGTGGTCCTATTTCTGAGCATGTAAATTGGGTAAACAAGGGAGTTGAACAATCAGGAAGAAGCAATACAGTAAGCGGCACTTCTCTGTGGTCTCTGCCCCAGCTTCTGCCTCCAGGGTCCTGCCTTGAGATTCTCCTCTGGCTTCCTTCAGTGATGGACTGAAATTTGTAAGCTGAAACAAATGCCCTGGCCAGTTGCTCATGGCTTTTCATTGGGGGCTTACCACAACAATAGAAAGCAAAATAGAACATCGTCAGAGTGGATGGAGTGTGTAGATTCTGAAACTTGACTCTTCCCAGTTCAATATGGCACAGGCATGTTCACCTCTGGAGATACCACCCCAGTTCCAGGTATGCAGTGGGTCTATGTTGTGCTATTAAGCAGTTTGGAACATACTGTTCTCAAACCTCATTTAAGTGCTCAGCCTCCTGAAAGAGCCAGCTGTTCATGCTTCTAGCACAAACCAAGAAGCTCTCTCCTAAAGAAGACACACAGCCTTCTCTGCCAAAAATTTTTTTGACTGTGAATGAGCTAAGTAAAGAGAGACATTTCATTGTACAGGCTGCTAAGCTAAACAAACATATATACTTTAAAGGTATCTTGACTTTAAATTTAGGTCTAAGGATAAGTATGTTGCTTTGGAAAAGAGGTTCTACTTTTGTTTCCACAGAAGATGAGAACCTGTGGATTTTGTCTCCTCCGGTAGCTAATGAGTTTGATGGAACAAGAGCCCCTGAATGGTCCCCATGAATGCTAAAATATACTTTGCCTAAAAATCAGCAGAAAGCAGTTTCAAGAAAGCTATACCCAAATTCCCTAAATGATTGTTTATAAATGTTTGTTTACATTTAAAGGTGGATATACTATAAAGATGAATACTTTGCATTGGTATGGATCTTCATTTATTGACACAAAGTTGAGGTCAATTTTGTTATATGCATATTTCTGCTTTTGAATAAGGTATTGTGTTTGTGGCACTCATTTAAAATTGCAATGTATAATTAAGAAATATAAGTTAATAGATAATCATCTATAATAGTCAAGCTTGTAGTCATGTTAGATAGGTTCTCTAGCTGTACAAAGATAAATTTCAGATGGATAGCTAGTCTTCAAACCTTCCAAAGACTAACAGAATATGGCATTTAAAATGTTTTCTGAGCTTTGAAATCTCTATGACAATGAGACACATCTTCTTCTGGCAGACTCGATCTACTTCAAGATGGTGATGGACATTGAAGAGGTTCCTTATGAAGATTGTTAGTCATTTGGTCAAGAAATTGATCTTGCCTGGACTGCTTGATGTTATGCTGTATAGACTGGACATATAGGACACACAGAAAAATGACTTCTGAACTTATCTAAAGGTAAGACAGTCTTTCAGGGTTCCTGATTCATGAAAGAGTCTGCCAGACATTCTGCAGGACACACAAAAAAAGTGTCTAAGAAACTGCCAATATAAGTGAAACTGCCTTTAAAATTTCCTGCTTCATGGAAAGTCTGCCAGATACTATGGGCCTATAGGCTGAAAATAAATGCCAAAAGATTACAGAAGAACTTAGGGTGATTGTCTAGGTAGTGAGATGTCTCTGTCAATTCTAGAGTTTTTTTAAGGTGCTTACAATGCACTTCCTGTTAACTGTTAATTCTCTATCCTTCTGGGGTCTTTGATGGAGTTGAGTAATAGTTATAGTTACTGTTTTCCTTGGTTATGATAAAAGATAAAATAGATATAAATAGGGGGCTGGAGAGATGGCTCAGTGGTTAAGAGCATTGCCTGCTCTTCCAAAGGTCCTGAGTTCAATTCCCAGCAACCACCTGGTGGCTCACAACCATCTGTAATGAGGTCTGGTGCCCTCTTCTGGCCTTCAGGCATACACACAGAAAGAATATTGTATAGTAAATAAATAAATATTTAAAAAAATTAAAAAAATAGATATAAATATTATTTCTTGCTTGATAACTGTTTCATTGTAAGTAATCTTACTATGTTAAAGTTAAAACCTTTTTTATTTAGACAGAAAAGGGGAGGTGATTTGGGATTCTGTATGCTGTGAATACCATTGACTAATAAAGAAGCTGCTTCGGTCCTATTGCAGCACAGACAAGGGCAAGGTGGGAATTCCAAGCATACAGAGGAGCAGAAAATAGGTGGAGTCAGAGAGATACCCCTAGTGGCTGAAGGAGACAGACACATGGGAACCTTACCAGTAAACCAAGAGCATCAAGGTAAAATACAAAATAATAGAAATTAGATAATTTAAGATGTAAAAGCTAGCTAGAAATATGCTTAAGCTATTGGCAGAATAGTATTGCAATTAATATAGTTTCTGTATGATTATTTCAGGTCTAGACAGATGGAATGAACAAGCAACCTCCACCTACAAGGATAGGCTCACTTGCCTGTGAAAGTCAGAAGTTACATTTAATTCTGAGCATGTGCTCCTCAGTGCATTAGAAAAGGAATTATGAAGATTTATCTGTGCTTGTTTTGTCCCTAACTGGAAATTAAGGAACAGAGACCAACTCCCCATCCGACCCCCCCCCCAAAAAAAAAAAAAAACTAGCAGAAGACTGTGAGGGTTGCCAGACAGAGGGCAAATTAGCAGAAGAGTATTCTGAAGAAGGAGGGGAGAAAAGATCCTGTGGGAAACCACAACAATGCATATTGTACTCCAAAGAAATGTCTTATATTTTGTCAATAACAAACCTTATAATTCCATGTAAAAATGGCAGGGTCAGTGTGGTTATTCTTAGCTAACTCATGATACACCACTTTTGTCTTTCATAGTAAGCATCTTTTAAAAGGATAATTGTAACGGCCACACAGATATCTTTCAGAAGTTCATAAGTATTCTGCAGTGTACAATAGTGTTTAAACTGACATTTTAGATCATTCTCTGAGATCAGTAAAGCTCATTAAAGTGAACAGTTATTTAAATATGGAGAGCAGTTTTATGAGGTGTAGATAAATAGACTAATAAGATGATACCATTTCAAGGCAAAAAGCCACATCCCTTTTATTGTTATTGCGAGGTCTAATGTGGGAACTTCTATTCAGATGGTTACATCTATTTAAGACAAACCAGTAACTGTTCCATGGTTAGTATTCTGTGTCAGAATGAAGTGTTAATAATTGTATTCATGGATTTAGTCTTAAATTAACTGTAGGAGATTACATTAAAAGTACTTATCAAAATTTCTGCATTCCAAGGGACTAAAAGCAAAGTGCAAATTCATTGTATTTTTGTTTCAAGAAAATCAATTATTCTTTTTCTCTAATTAAATACAATGGATAATATTTTGTTTTCTTAATGTGGAATGTTTCAAGAAAAATATTATTAAATGCAGTTCTGCTTTTATGTACCATATTATGTAATCTTTTCTATTTATACACACAGAGAGGAAAAAGAATAGAGACAGAGATAGAAATAAAGACATTGGTAGATAGACAGACAGACAGTTAAGATAGAGAATGAATAACTACCTAAGTCTAAATTGTTTTACTCCTGAGATCTATAATTCTTGTAACATAGTTAGATCTTTTATTTATTTTTGTCTGTCTCATTACATTGATTTTATAATGATAACCAAATAACTTAAATACATGAAATAAAATAATATGCATTTATTTAACATTTCACATAGATCCTATACTTTTCAAGAGTTTGTCATGGGTCAATTATCATATACCTTACATGTTACCTGTTAAATAAATTCTCACAGACTTTTTTAATATTTCCCTAATTTTATGAATTTAAAGTATGGAATTTGGGGGTATAAACCCAACTAAGAGACTTTTTCCAGGAAGTGTTGCCTTAAAAGAATTCAACCAACCAAACAAGAAACATGTGGACTGTTCTCAGAGTTCTATAGCCTACAATATGCTGTTAGGTTAATATACTATTCAGGAAACTTACTACTCTAAGACTTAATAAAATAAAATTAAATTAAAAAAAGCTCTTAACTGTTTCTTATTTCTTTGTATCTCACAAACAAATTTAACCAAGTTAAATCAGAAAATTAGTATGTTGATTTATATCATATGATTCTAATGTGGCTCACTAGCTTTTTTAATCTCCAAATACAATGGTGAGTACTTTAATTCTTTTCCAGAGTTTTTTGTTTGTTTGTTTTGTTTTTGTTTTTGTTTTTCGAGACAGGGTTTCTCTGTCTCTGTGGCTTTGGAGCCTGTCCTGGCACTAGCTCTGTAGACCAGGCTAGTCTTGAACTCACAGAGATCCGCCTGCCTCTGCCTCCTGCGCCACCATCGCCCGGCATTTTTCCAGAATTCTTTAATCATCTCTATCTTGCAGAAACCTTTCACTGGAATAGATTCATCACTTCTTCTGTGAAGAGCTGTGAGTCATTTAAATTAATCTGGGTATGATCATGCTTAATATTATATAACTAGTCCAAATAAGATCTATCTAGGTCATAGCAATCTCTTTCCTTATATATAATATAGCATTGTAAAACAATTCATAGAGAAAAAGTCCATTTAGAGCAGAATGTAGTTGGCAAACAACAGTCTGATTGTGGGTGTCATTATAAGTTACCTTACCAGCTGGTAAATTGTGGAGGTCCAAAAAATGAGCCTATTTTCACCTTATCTGATGGTCAGAGAGTTGGAGGTTGCTCAAAGTAGCTGACAAGTGTAGTTGCACATCGCAATTCAGGATGTGGATACTTGATTCTTTTGAAATTAAAATAGCTCATACAAGTACATCCAAGTACAGATAGTCAGGATATGCAAATATACTTCTGCTCTTTCTTTGGTAACTGTGAGGTCACCTGGGGAGTGGCTGCCTTCAGGATAAGTGGTCTAGGGCAGCTTCACTGCCTAAACAACAGAATGCTAATGATTTGATGTCTCAAAATATTAAAGCGATTAACTGTTTGAGTTGTCCTTTGTATCATGTTAATAAAGTTTTTTGTTACATTCCCCCCCCCCGTTAGATGGAGTATAAAAACATATGGAAAAATAAATGTGGGCAATCTCAGTATTCACGGGAATGCCCTCCCAGTATTATTCTATAATTTCTGCTTTGTTATGTTTCACGAGTATACATATTCTTTACTTATATTTCCAAATTCCCACACCACTATCCTGGTAAGAGGTATTTTTGTTGAGGCTGGTCCCAGACTGGTAAGCAAAGAGTTAATGGTTTTGTGGAGCAGCAGACATTCAGGGAGTAGTTCCTAACCAACAATGAGACTACCATCAAATAAGGCATCTAGTATAAATGTATTAAGTAAAGTAAAATATTAGCCAAAATTTTAAGAATCATATCCAACTTCAATAAGTCATTATATTTGTATTGGTATTATTCTTGCTTTAGTGTCTACAAGTATTGACTGATCAGAGAGTTATCTTTGAGGGAGTGGGGCTATTTCAATTTCTTAAAACAGTATAGTACCTTATGACTTTTGTGTGTATTTGTTTAACTGATGGTTAAAGACAGCACATACAACATTATAGCCTCTTTTACAACTCATAGTTCTCTGTGCCCAATGCGTTTAAAATGAGTAGACTATGTTTTAGGAAATCTTTTTTTTTCAGCTCATCCAAAAGCAGGGGTCTCTTTACTATTACACTTCATCACAAGATTGAATCAGCTTGGTTACATCTTCACACAGCAAAAGGGATTCTTAATTCTTACTATTTCAACCACATCTGCATCCTCTTCTTTTCATGAGATCTTGAACCCCTCAAAGCCATGTGTGATAGTTTGACCCAAGCTTTTCTCCTGTTAATTTCAACTTTGGTATTTGATTTTCTTCCATGAATAATAAATATTCTTCTTGTCATCTAGAATGACTAGTTTTTTTTTCCCTACAGAATTTTAGTTTACTTTGCACCAATCTGAGAGATGATTCATCATCTATGGCAGCCATACCTTTACAAAATAGAGTCTTAAATTGTGAGACTTAAATTGTGAGAATTGTGTGGCAATTCCTTAAAGAAACTCCCATTACATAATATCTTCTTTGTGTTCAATTTGTGTTTTAGTACAACTTTTTTTTTTCCCTAATGACGCTTCAGATGTATAAGTATGTAACTTTGGAAAAGAAATATTTGTTTCTGTTTTGTGTAATGCAGTGGGAAAAACTACCTGTTTTTGAATGTTTAGTGGAAAATGCACTCTACTTTTACTTATAGTTTTCATACAATCTGCAGGTGTCTTCACTTAGTTTAAAATACAGTCTTGCTATATTGTTTTTTCTTGTTTTGTTTATAGCTTACATCTATGGTGAAATCCTTCTGTATATGAGTTTCTTTTATTGGTTAATGAATAAAGAAGCTAATTTTGGCCTGTGGCGGGGCAGAATATAGCTAGACAGGGAAAACTAAATTTAATGCTGGAGAAAGAAGGCAGAGTCAAAGAGAAGCTAGGTAGTTTCTGCCGGAGACAGACACCAGACGGAATCCTACCTGTAGGCCACAACTACCTGATGATACACAGATTAATAGAAATGGGTTAATTTAAAAAGTAAGAGCTAGCTAGAAATATTCATAAGCTAATTGGCCAAGCAGTGTTTTAATTAATATAGTTTTATGTAATCATATCTGGAGCAAGCAGCCTCCACCAACAGAATGGTACCCACCGTCTAGGGCATGGATCCACATAAAAACCAAAAAACAAACAAATAAACAAACAAACAAAAAGAGGACTTGTAGATCCACAAGAATGGGAGCCATGCATGGCTTCCTAGTAGCCACATTTTTTCAGATAGGCTGAGTCTTTCACAAAACTTTTTTACTGATTAGCTAGGGTATCTGGCCAATAAGGTCCAGGTATCCTTCTGCATTCCCATCCCAAAGCTGGAATTCCAGTCACACACTTCCCTGTTTGGCTTTACCTGGGAGGTGAATGGGTGGGACTCAGGTCCTCCTACTTGTACATTAAGCATTTTATCCATTTTGCTGGCTTTTAACCTCAATTCTGCATTTTAATACAAATCCCTCACTTTGAATTCCTTCTTTCAGGTTTGAAATAATTTGAACATTTCATTCCATTTGTGTTATAACAACTAACACAATGATCCTATAAGTATAAAATATAAACAAGAAAATTTTAAAAGTTAATCATTAAATCAATTTCAGCCAGTAGTGGAAAGACTAAAAGCAATTATATTCTTAAAAGCTAGATGTCATTATCCCTGACTTCTTAGGAGGTAGAATTTGTTTTGACTTGACTAAAATTATTTATATCAACTATCATATTTATTACATGAAAAAGGTCACTAAATTCAAGCTATTATGATGTAGAAGAAAGGAACTATAATCAATATTCCATATCATTAACAGAATACAAATTCTATTTAAGCAGATAAATTTTAATTGAAGTAAGTCATATATATTTTATTCATTTATCTTTATTTGAATTTGTTTTAAAAGCTACGGTCAGGATAGGAAATTTTGGAAGTCTGGGATATGAGTGTGGATATAAGATAAGT